CGGGGCAGCTGGCCGGTGTCAGCGAGGCCGCGTCCACGGAGCACTTGGCGGAGCCCAGCGACCTTCCTCGAGTCGCGGGGACTCCGGGACCCGCAGAGGCGGGGCGCACGGGGAGGCCGGCGGCCGCGGTGACCGCAGGGACCTGCGGGGCGGAAGCGCCTGCCCGCCCCAGCCCAGCCGGGCTGCAGACTTGACCGTGGCTCGCGGGGCGGGGTCCGCCACCGGCTGTGAAGAGGCGTGTGGACCGTAGCCCAGGGAGGCCGGTGAGCCGCAGATTGGCTTTGGAGGTGGACAGACGGGGGGAGCGCTGCCTGCACCACTTCCTTCCTGGCGGTGTGACCTTGGGCGAGTCATTTTACCTCCCGAGTCTCGGTTTCCTGCTCTTTGGAGCGGGATGTCTGCCAGTACCTGCTAGAATAGATGCTCCGGGAGCCGGAGCTGCAGGTGTTAGTTCTGAGGAGCTGGCTCTGGCACCTGCTTTGAGTTCGGTGCGGACAGCCCGTGTCCGTAGTCAGTCATGGGAGGAAACCAGCCGTTTGTGTGTGGGCTGAAAGACGACTCCTGACCCTCAGTCGAACACCTCTTTCACGATAATTGAATGGAAATTACAGAAACCCCTTAACAATTGGAGTGAGTGTGTATGTGTGTGTGTATACACACACATGTCCACATACACATACATATGTATATATCTTCAGTGCGCAAATACAGAACTATCTATAGGAAAAAAAGGTGTGGTGATATATATATACTAGAGGCCCAGTGCATAAAATTCATACAGTGTGTGTGTGTGGTGGGTGGGGGGGGGGAGGCCCTCAGCCCAGCCTGCGCCCTCTAGCAGTTCGGAAGCCATCAGGGGATGTCCAACTGCCACGGAGGTGGGACAGGCTCCCACCACCACCACCACTACCACCACCACCGCTACCACCACCACCACCGCTGTGCTCGACTCTACAGCCAATTGTGAGCCCGGCTCAGGGCTCTGGCTGAGTGGTGCTCCCCCTATGGGAGCAGCTCCTGCATTGAGCGTCTGCCCCCTGGTGGTCAGTGCATGTCATAGCGACTGGTCGTTCTGCCGGTCGGTCGATTTGCGTATTAGCCTTTTATTATATAGGATGTATAATATGGAACCCCTTTGTAAAAAAGGGGGAATAAGAGTATATATTTGTAAATGCTTAATTTGTACCAAGGACTTTGGAAGGACCCATAGGCAGTAAGAATAATGAATATTTATGGGGGATTGGGTGGAAAGGATAAGGGGGAGTGAGCTTTTCACTGTAAACTTCGTTATATTTTCATTTTGAACCACGTGTGAATATTTCACTCCTCCAAAATGTTTTATAAAGTCCAGGTCAACCCCCAGGGTAACAAGAGAGAGGAGGTAGGATTCCCCTTGGCCTTGCTTGGCTTTCCTCCGATTTTAGTGCCCTCTCGTCGCCTCTCACTGTCTTGTATCTGGATGGTGGAAGTGGGGTTCTTTGTGGCTAGCAGCTTTCCCAGAAGGGTGGGCTGGCCACCAGTGGCCCCATCTCTCAGGCAGCCCCCACAGCAGGCAGGCAGGCAGGCAAGCTGGGGGAGTTCAGCTGGTTGTGGGTTTGACAGGTGATGGAGCCGCAGAGCATGCTGGGAATCTTGTCAGTTTCCTGGGGCTGCTCTTGGTGGGGGAGGGGTGACATGCTGAGTGTTCCTGCTCCCCGGGGTGTGGCTGAGCAGCGTCCCCTCTTGCTGGCCAGAACTCGGATTCCACCTCCCTCGGGAGGAAGGCAGATGGTGGGTCCCGGAAGGGGTTCTGAGGTCTGAGGGGAGGATGAGGGCCTTCAGTCTCTGAACTGGAAGTGAATAGAAAGTTGCCCCCAGTCCTCTGAAGGGGCCTTCCACCTGGTCAGCCAGGCTTTATGGACCAGGGATGGGGGAGTTAGAAGTGACCCAGAGAGGCTGCTGTTCCTGAGGGGAGACACACAGTACAATCAAATCAACTCCCAAGTACCGAGCTCTGTGAACAAGACAGTCTGGGAGCATGGGGGTCAGAGGAGGGGCAGGAGCGCACTTCTTTAGGGTGGACAGGAGGCCTCTCTGAGGAGGGAGGTGGTAATGGAACGGAAACCCAAATGAGGAGGAGCCAGTCACATGATTCGTGGAAGGTGCAGTTCCGACAGAAGGAAAAGCAACTGCCAGGCCCTGCTGAGGACAGTGAGCGAGAACCGTGAGCTGAGGACCAGCATAGTCAGGGCTCAGCTTGGGCGAGAGCCTCACGTAAGGGTCTTGGTAGGGATGCGGCTTGGTGGTCAGTGTGGTTGGCCCTGCTTTCAGCACGGCCGCATGTCTGGTCGCTGAGCCACAGCTCAGGGTTAAATCTTGGTCTCACTTCTTCCCAGGCCGGGACCTTTGGCAAGTCACGTTCCCTCTCTGAGCACCAGCACCCCCACCTGGATCCTGGATCCTCTCTGAGGATCAGGGTGGGCCCTTCCCGCAGACTCGCATCTGGAAACCATGAGAAGGGCGAGCAGAGGCTGGTGCTGGCGGACATGGTTCCCGGAGCACCAGGCTCTGTGCTGAGCTCTCTGCGTGCATTCGGGGGGACTCTTCATCCTCCTCCTCCAGGGAAGGCAGATGTGCAGACAGGGAAACTGAGGCTCGGAGGGTAAACTTGCCTGTGGTCCCACAGCCTGTAAGCGGAGGGGGGCTGGGCCACAGGATCCCCAAGTACATGGCCCCGTGCCACTGCTTCCCCGTGTGTAGCTGCCTCTCAGAGGGGGAACGCCAGCCTGTCTATTCTTCTCACCTCCGGGACTTTGCACAGACCATGCCCTCTGCCTGGAGCACGCTTTCGTTTTACTGTGCACGACTCGGGATTTGCCTTGGGGATGCCTCTGTGACCACCACCCAGGTTAAGGCTGCACACGTGTCCTCTTCGCTCGGCCTCTTCATGAGCTCATGCTGTGCAGCAGGGGTGGGGACCTTTTTCCACCACAGGCCACGTGGGATTTATAACATCACTCGCGGGCCAGACGCCATTGTCTACTTAAACATCAGCCAGCTGTATTTGGTCAAACATTTAACTCACCCCAGTGCCTCGGAAGGGCCAGCCCGAATGCTTTTGAGGGCCTTACACGGCCCTCACCCCTGCTCTCCACCATTCAGGGCTCAGCTGAGCTGTGGTTCCATCCAGAAAGCCACCCCTGGCTACTTTCTCCCCGTCCACCTTGTGCGGGTGAAAGGCTGTCCTCAGGACGCCGCAGCCCTGCGTCCCCTCCCATAGCAGCCACGTGACAGCCTGCTGTCATTGCTGGTGTTGTCACCTGTCACCCCTGGAAACCTGGAGTTCCCTCAGATGGGAATGAAGGCGCTCTCAGCTCTGTACACTGAGAACCCGAGGGCGCATAAAGGGGTGATGACTCTGAGGACTTGATAACCCGAGGAGCGTGTGTCCAGTGGAAAACCTAGTCTTCCCCCCACCCACCAGCTGGCATTGCCATGCTGACACCCCCCCGCCCCAGGCTTCTCTGGTTCCCTCCTTGCGCCATGCATCCCATTGGCTTCAGCACTGAACCAGCTTCACCAAAAATAGGCCCGAGCACTCGCTCGCCCACGCAGGGCATCGCCGGGGCTGCGTGCCCACCTCCTCTCCTGGTGGAGCCTCATTGATTGATTTAAAGCATAAACAAGCATTCCCAGCCATCACTTCTGAGCCAAGAAAGCTGATTAGCTAGATGGTTAAAACTCATTAAAAACTCCAGCGAAGGCGTCCTGGTTGTGCCGGGTGGTGCGCTGCCTCCTGATCAAGCCGGGCGTGGGTCCCGAGGTGTGAAATGGTCCCTGGACAGGAAGAACGGCTCCCTGAGTCCTGCCCTTCGCCACCTTGAGCTGGCCTGGAGGTCGCCCCACTTCCTGTCCCCCCCAGGCTGGGCCTGCTCCGGGCCTTGGAAAGGAAATAATAAGAGGAGGCTGCTGGGAAAGGTGAAGGGTCTATTTTTTCCTTCAGGCTCCCAAACAGCTCCAGAGGCATGTCTGTGTAGATGCCAAGAGGCTGCCAGAGGAAGAAGAAAAAATGTTCTCCCAGATCTTGAGAGCAGGCCTCTCATGGTAACGGCTAATGTTTTCCCACTGCCGTCATCGGCCAGTGCCGGCCCGAGCTGTGGCTCCTCCATATTCGCCCTGGCCCCTCCCAGCAGCACTGCAGTTCCCATTGTAGTGACCAGGACATCGAGGCTCAGGAGATGATGTGACTTGCCCAAGGCCATGGACTACTGAGTCCAAGCCCCAGACCCCGACATTTGGGGAGGGGGACCAGAGATGCGGGGGCCTGGCCGGCCGGTGGGGTGCAGTTTTCCCCTGGATTCTCGCCGCTGGCAGTACTTCCAGGTCAGAAAGTCTCCAAGTGGCCC